TTTCAAAAAAGGTGACAAAGTACTAAAAACGTAACTATGCAAGGTGCATTGATTCCATTTATTGCCTATCTTTTGTGTTTCCTGCCCATCAACACTGAGCAGGAATTTCATTACAGTAATCAGAAAAATAGTAATAATCAAAACATATATAAGCAGGGTAGACACCTGACAGAAAATGCCACAGGTTAAGGTTAAAAGCTACTTAACAATTTTTTAGAGGACTAGGTTAATCATTGTTTCAACAGAATTAAAATAAATCTGTAGCCAAAACTGCATGTTGAAATTATATAATTATATTAATTTAAACATCTGTAAAAACTTCCATTACCCAATTTCAGCCAAATTTAAACATTGCCATCTTTGCTACCTAAAACTTTATTGATACAATATAAACTATTAAGATGACAAAATGACACGACCTTCCAAAGCTATAGTCTTCTTCTAGCTTGGCTTACATGCACTGTAGGTGAGTGATGCTCTCAGTATGTCAGTGACCAAGGAAATGAACTCTTGCTGCTACATGACATGAAACAGCACTTCCTTTGAAAAGGTCACCAGTTGGGTTAGAAGTACCGATTTGTTTCAGGTTTAATAAATCCAGAAGAGTGAGAGACCTCTTTGACATCTCCAGAATGAGTGTGTGCGAGTACATGCGGTGTGTGTGTTTGAAGGGACTTCCTAAACTATTCTTGTGTGTGAGAGAGTACGTGGGTGTGAGCAAGTGCAAGTTTGAAGTAATCTGATCTGAAAGGAGGTAAATCCCATTTTACACACGAAACAAAGAAACTTACTGACGCCAATCTCACTGTCGTTTCTTTTAAATCTTTTTTTTCAGAGGAGGCGGAGAACCTGAAACGACAGACTTTATACGCAGTAACTCACTTTGGTGTACAGTACAGTATAGATTGAAGCAAAAAAAATCAATAGAATATCATCTAGAAAGATAGTAATGGATTTCTAACTTAATGGGCTCACACAGGTCTATCGATTAGCAGGATTAACATCTGCAATACCTCAACAATCTGATTTGCATTTAAATTACTGTACGCTCCGTGCTGACACCAATATAACAAAACAGACAAACGTATAGCCAGCACAGCGGCGCTCGATTTTGAGGTCTGACTTTAGTATAAATCTTGTTTTAAAAAAAGGAAAAGTGAAAAGAAAGTTGCTGTGCTGACAAGCTTGCAAACTTTTGAATTTTGCAAAAGTCTAGACAAGGACAAAAAAAGAAAGAACATAAACACCGACAGACTCGGCCTGAAGCTGTCTCCTGTAAGACTGAAACACCCATAACTCTTTTGGGGCAGCTCATCTGATCCTCCCCGGTTAGATCTTAGTGAGGAAGTGGGGCGGGTGTTTGTGGAGAAACAGTGTGTGTGTCTCTGTGTGTGTATGGCGGAGGCGGGAGGGGTGGGGTTGGGGGGCAGTGTGAGGTGAGATGTTGGGAGGGTAGCGAGGTGGGGTGGGAGTTTGATGGACTGCGCTGTCACCTCCCGCTCGGCGATTTACGGCGGCGGGGCTGCTGACGAGCACGGGGCAGTAAACAGGCCGGCCGGGGGCGTATTTCACAGAGAGCTGGCTTTTATGAAGAACACCAGGACGGCTCTACCCACAGCTCCGCCCGGCCCGCCGTGACGGATGGAGAAAGACGCATGACAAGCTTCATCATTGTTTGTAAATCTTAACTGTTCCCGCTCACTAACTCCAGAAGGCAATTTTGCGGAGACAGCGGGGCCTGCGGAGGGGGAGGGTGGAGAGGGGCGAGGAAGAGGAGGAGGAGGAGGCGAGGAGGGGAGGGGAAAGGACAGCGTGGCACTCCTGAAGGTTATTTGGGTCTCTGTATTTGGCCAACTGATTAGCCCTATCCTGGGAGGGAGATAAATCTGACGGGATGCTGTTTGGCAGTCAGGTAGAAGGGGAGGGCAGGTAGACTCACAGAGCTCACAGCTATTTCCTCCTCATGGACGAATCCAGAGGCACACAACATGTTCAGCCAAAGCGAAACAATTATTAAAAGGAGATGTCGCTGAATTTTGATGTACTGAGGCAAATGTCAAATTCAATCAACAACCAGGACAATATTCTGTATATTTTTTTTACCCTCCTTAGGTAAGCTGTTTTGGCTATGTTGTAAACTGCGCTGCAACATTTCATTATCAGTTAATCTGTCTATTATTCTGGAGATTAATTGATTAATCATTTGGTCCTTTGATAATAAACTGAATGTTTATTGTGTACAGGGCTGTTAGTCAGGCCACACAAGTAACTAAATTAAAGAATTTCCTGTTGCTTGACTATTCATTTAACTGCTGAACTAATTGTTTCAGCTCCAGTTGGACATAAAGCTCCATGTCACTGGTTAAGAGCAGCGAAAAGCAATGTGAAGTAATTCGACGATAAAAAAAAAAAAAAAAAAAAGCAGAAAAGCTACAGTACCTTTTGAAATAGAAAGAGAAACAATCATGCACCCACATTACGCAAGATAAAAAGTTCATTATGTGATGCTCGAGAATAAGAACAACATGACTCTGCAGAGCGATTTATACTCAGCTGATAAGATATGAATTAGCCTTGGAACAACCTCAAGGACATACTTCAACACACATACAATAGTACAGATAGAGGGAAGGACGAGCATCAAAAATGTTTCACACACAACATCTTAGACAGAGAGGCTCCTACAAAAAGCCTCTGCAGTAACAGGGTTCATCTTCAGTCAGTGGAAGCCTCCTGTTTAGATACGTCACACACCTATGCACTGGGTTTGGCAGTGGTTGTACCAAGTAGGCACCAAATGTTTAAGACTGATTCTTTGATAACATAATACTAAATCCAACCCCCTAGCTTTATATAACATGAAATACACAATAGTTTTACCCCTTAGTGCCTCAAAAATATTTGAATTAATGCGGAAGATGATACTGTATTCAGCATTGGCCTCAATCCATACATGTTTGATAAGCCAAAGTTGAATACAGTTTAAAGTTATACATAGGTTGCATTATTCAAAAGCAATGTTTCTGCTGATACAGTAATGTTGGGTAGTGTACAATCAATGTTAGGTTAATTCATTTTCTACAGTATATATAAAAGGGGGATACTGTCCCACACTTGCTTAATTTCAGATACTCAAAAGACCAATCATTAAAATTGATCAAATCAAATTAGCTTTGATACTAGCCAAAACCTGATTAGGACTGGGAAACAACAGTTTCACCATGTGAAGAATTTATATTCGTAAAACATTTGGAAAACCTCACTTTAATAACCTGATCTGTCTTTAGCTCAAAGGCATTGTAGAGAGTAACTGATTTTAATATATAATTGATATATTGCTTCCATTTAAGGGGTCACAGAAAACCTCTCTATATGTTTGGATCTCTGGTGTTGGACCCTGAGTCGACACCAAATGTGGGACCACCCGCTGAGAGTGTTGTTATCTTGTAATGGAGCATGAAGATTCGCGGCAGGAGGCTGACGTGGGACCCTCACAGGAAACGGACAGGTGAAAGTCATAAACAAATACAGGTACGAGGGACCATGCGGGGGTCTTTAGGTTTGTGATGCTGGTGGTGTCAGCAGTTTATTTCACTAAAAGAAGGATGTTGATGTTGTACTAATGACGCTCTTCCCCTATGTCCTTTCTAAATGAGTAATAATATACAATACCACTGTATAAACAATTAATATCATTTTTTAATTCCTAAAAAGAAAAGTACATTTTGTTCTAGTGACGTGTATAAAGGAGCTGTGCTGGGTGGTAAAATCACCACTCAAACTGCTGTATTTTGAGGAAAAATTGACTTTTTGTGAATGAAGTTTTTGCACTTCATTAAAGATAATAACAAATTAGTTTTACTAAACCTCTTAGGCATATAATAACTAACATGACCATCTGGCAATCACAAAAAATAAAGCTTGATTTTACACAATTAAGGCTTTACATACCTGAAAAATAACTCTACACACTTCAACATTTACAACTTTAACATTCAATCTGCAACATTAGATCACTTCTTCTTGTGCTAGTTTTGACACGTTTATCAACTTTTAAAAGCAAATGACATACAGCACTCTCAACCTATACATGAGCACACAAGATCCCTCTATAACTTGCAAATGTATCTACAATTTGTGAGTGACAATCATTTATGAAACAGGACACCACCATTTGTGCTCTGAAAACACTTCTGCAACGGGCCGCTGAGTGAATGAACCGGAAAATGAAGAGCAAAGGTGCCTCAGAATTGCGGTTCAAAACTTATCTTTGCTGAAGCAACAGCTCTCTCTCCCAGTGCATTGTGCTGGATCTTCCCTCTTATCTCACTCTCATCATGCACTTTCATGCATTCCTTGCAAAGTTCCACAAATACTTAACTGCACATATTAAGCAATGCACACAATCTGATTTACCAGAAATCAGAGATCAGATCTACTTCATCTTTAAACACAACAAAAAGAAACAGAGCTGCACTGTCAGGTCTTTGACAGTTTTGAGGCTGTTTTAAAATTGATAACTTTTTCTGTGATAGCTGCAAATTATAGACAATAGATATGTGTTTTTTATTGCTGATTATCTGAGCATAATTTTATTGAACTATCTGTCATCCTTTAAACAGAAAAGATAACAGTAAGGTGAGTAGAGGTCTACCATTGATTCATTCATGTCAGTTCTCGGTTCGGAAATTGATGCAACACAAGTCTTTCACTTGAGCCAACCCTACATACACAGTTCTGCATTTGAAGTAAAGTAAAGTGAAAAAGTAAGTATAATAAAAGCAAAAAAGCTTCACTTTAGACTCATTTCATCGTGTAAATTTTATGGCACTCTTGACTTGAGTGCAAACCTCCCTTGAATGTACTTAACCACACTGTTGATAAAGTCTGGGTAAAACTTTATGAGGCCTGAGAG